ACACCACCTGTCTTGAAACCGTCATGATATCCAAAGCCAAGCGACGGACGAAAGGAGTGTGAAGATAGCGCTTTGTGTGTAATCTTTGTGTGTACAACAAACTGATGGATTACAGTGCTGCGTGTGATGATCCACTTCCCAGGCACTATCCTGGCAAGATAATTAATGGTGTGAGAATAATCACTCACTTGTTTTGTCAGGGGGGAGGTAAAAAAATAAAAATAAAATAATAATAATAAATGCTAGCAGCTCATGAGACATCCTCAACGAATAAAAACAGCACACTTCCTTTCCCATGCCGATTTAAGAGTTAAATACACTACAGATCTCAAGTCAGCCTTTCCAAAAGCAAATATTATTTATTGTGACAACAATAACAAATCTCACAGACAAAAAAAAAAAAAAAAAAAAATCATCGGTACAATGAAACACGACCTCGCAGCAGCTAACAGAAATTCTTGTCTTATTTATTTATTTATTTATTTTTTACGCCCAAGACACATCACTTGTTGCCAGGCAGGAATCAAGGGGTCAATGAGGTCATCATTCGTGTATGACATGAAGAAATTACTCCATCAGAATTTAATCATCGCTCTGTCTTACATACTTGTTGGCGCAAAGAAAGAAAAGCTCCCGAATCCGGTTGTGACATTGACGTTATTTATCCAGCTTGTGCCACGCATCTGAATGTCATTTAATACACATTGCCACTGCAAGACAATCACCGCTCTGTATTACATATAAAATTCCGCGTGTTAGAAAGCTACGAAATCTGGCGGGGCAATACTATATTTAAGAAAAAGAAAAAACGCTGCATTTGGTGAGGCACTGCATATATTGAGCACTGGATTTGCCTGCCTATACTTAGTTGGTACTGTATATATATTTTAAAAAAAATAAATAAATTTGCATATTGCTATTCGATATTTTTGTCTATTTGACATTCATGCACCATGAAAAAAAAAAAATTAAAAATCAGAAATTACTCCACCCACCTCGGATCCTTAAGCAGTTACTATTTGGAAATCATATGTCACACAGATTTGCATGAGACCTCTGTATTATAGATGATTTTTTTTTTCACAGTCAAACAACTTTAGTAATTGGGAAAGTAGGTGACACACACACACACACACACACACACACACACACGCACACACACAAGAGAGGCCATGCAACAGACAAGACAGGCAGTGTCGCGGAAGACAAAAGAGAGGAAAGCTGAAGCAAATTTCAACATTGCTTCTCCCCCCCTTCCCAAATTTGTTGGAATGTAAGAGAGTGCAGGAAGGGGGGTTGCAGCTGGCTCTCAGGAGGGGGCGGGGAAATTAAGTCCACGAGTGTGACACTGGCGGGGAGGCGTTTTGGATCCTTTCGGAAGTGGGTCATGTCTTAAATATTAAAAGATCCCGTCGATAAATCATGACGGGACAATGTGCCAGTTTAACCCTGAGGCCTTCATCTGCTTTGGATCGTAGTTCAGATGCGCGCACACACACACACACACACACACACGCACACACACACACACACACAAACACACACCATCTATTTATGTTTTGACAGCACGGCAAAGACACACAAATGTCAAACTCTTTTGAGTGTGTGTGACACATCAGCTCACTGGAACCGCAGCTTGCTTTGCTTTGACCTCTTCTAGGAATGATCAACTATAAAACGCGGACGCGTGCTTGCGGCTGACAGCTGTTTAGCATACAGAGGGAGTTTAAAAATAGACGTCACGTGCACGCGCCTTTAAGTAGATATGAGCTGAGCCCTTTCAAGCGTCTCCCTGTTAATCCTCGAATAAGCCTTACATTTGTGTGTGTGTGTGTGTGTGTGTGTGTGTGTGTACCTGTCTGGCCACTTTGCGGGCCTCCCAATAAGGTTTTGAGTCGTCGACCGCCCGTCCAATCTTTTTCACCTGCTCGTCCAGCTTGACGGTGGCTTCCACGAGCACGGCGCGGAAGCGCTGGCGGAATTCCTGCCGGATAGGCACACATGCACGCAAGAGTTTGGGAAGAGCGGGTCTAGTTTGGTGTTGAGAGCAGTTCAAATTTTGCGAAGATGAGTCAGAATGAGTCCTAAATCCCTCTGAGCGCTGTCACGAGGCCAAGCGTGCTTGTGGTTCAAAAGCAACTCTTGGAGGGAGTTCGATGTGGAGCAGCAGGCGCTTAGTCGCAACTGAATCTTGACTCTGTATGATATATAAAATTCTCTATGTGACAGGAAAAAAAAGATCTGTGATCTGGTGGCACATTGCACCTCTTCCCAGTGGCATAATATATACATTTTACACCAGTGTGTTCATTTCGGCCATTTTACACACCGTATCGCCATTTTTAGGCCTATTTCGATATATTTGGACAAAGGAACCACTGTAAACCATTTTGAAAATGAAAGTGAGAAAACTAGATTGAATGGAAACCAAATTCAATCAAATCTCCCCTCGAGCACTGAACCGAATCGAAAAAGAATGCACAATATGCGTCTGTTTCCGAACACTTTGTGTGCAATTCTGCTGACAAAGCGGTTCTCATAATTGAAGTCATCACCAAGCCGTCGAAAGCACGTGTGCGGGGCAATTTGGCTGCATGGCGAAGAACCAGCCAGCAACGATGTGTTGGGAGTCCGCCCCCGCCCCCGCCCAAAAAATAAATAAATAAATAAATAAATCCATCTCATCGATGCAGCGACGGGCCATCTGCTGACATGTGTGCTCACATGTGAAAATGAACGGCGGCGGCACCCGCATCCTGTTCAGAAAAGTAAAGGGCGGAAAAGTGGTCACAGGAAGTGTGCTTCCCTATGACATCACAGCACAGCGTTTCCCCACTTCCTGACACGGCATGTAGCACCGCTGGTTTGATGCATTGTGTCCACCTGGCTTCCTTTTTGTTTTGTTTTTTTTTTAAATCAATTTTAACTGCGTGAATGCATAATATAGCTGACATCGGCAAAAGCCACGTTTGTTCACAACACTTTCGATGAGTCAATAATTAGTCCAAAATAAGAAGAATAGTTTGATGAAAACATTTAAAATGTACCAAATTGTGACAGAGGAGGTTTCGGCCCGACGCCAGTAATTTGTGACGAAACTTCCCAAGGGTGGGGAATTGTTGTCAGATTTTGTCATTTTCAACTTCAACTTTTTAAAACCATCCAAAATAGGTGACCCCCCCCCCACCCCCGATCCCCCCGCTATGATATAATAGTGAAAATCTGTGAATAATTGATTTTGTGATTGATGTATCGATTAAACAGAGTGGATCATAAAGCATCGACACAATCGGGAACCCACGTTACATGGACGACTGTATTTGGAAGCCAAATATCTTCTTTGAGGTTGTTTTCCCAACCCGTGCACTGTACAACTGGAATTTGAATGGTTAAAAAAACGCAAAACTGATTTGGGTTTACGAATCTTCAAAAAAAAACTTTACGAAGCTTCTCTAAAGTTTTTTTTTTTTTTGTTTTTTTTGGCTACACAGAATTTACTGCATGGTGGAAGTGAGTAGAGCTCGAATCGGAAAACCGCAATCTCCGGACTGTTTTGCCAGGGAGTAAATTCGATCCTGCCACACAACTGAAGAGAAGAATGGCCCTGGAAAGTCAAAATGCATGGCATCCATTTTGGGTCTTTGGTTTGTTTTGACAGGAAGGTTCAGGGAAGTTTATGGGAAACAAGGCCAGCACTTGGAATTCCCAATGGTGTCCCAAATAGAACAGAGTCACAGTAAGGACACGCAATGGATCATTATTTGCACAGGCTGATAGGATCCAATGCAAAAGAGGTGCTGAATATTCTTCCTTTATGAAGATAATGAATGCTTATTTCTGACAGTTGGCTCATGATTAATATGCAGTTTGTGGTGTTCACGCTCCTGCCATGTTGCCGGTTAACTGAGCCATTAAAAAAAAAAAAAAAAAAAAAAAAAAAAAAGTAGTGCCGTCAAAACTCTTTACTAAGATGAAATAAAATCGGTCGTTCTATGCAGAGGATAAAGAATGCATGCCTATAAGCATTGTTATATTATCTCTATACATATGACGCTACGCTTCACCAGGTGTGCTGCCAGTATTACAACACTGCGCCACCGATGCCATTCGTTAGCCCATCTGTGGTGTTTTGCATTGCCTATTAGCATTGAACTAAACGGATTTGTCTAAAGCAAAGCTTTTTGGTTGTTTTAAAGACACAACGACACTTTGCCATGTGTTCAGTTTGACAGTAAACTTCGATCTGGGATCCTCAATCGCCAGCTTGCAGCATTTTTTGGGGGGAAGAATTGTTCACTCTCTGCCAAACTGCTGCTTGTTGCGAAGTGAGCATTGCTCTCTTAGCGCTTCTTCACACAGCAAAGTCTTATTTTTAACAAGGAATTGGATACTTGCTCATAGGAGCCCTGAATTTTTCCACACACATCTTTGCAAGGCATTCGCAGAGGAACTATTTTGGGGTACAGTTCACGTTGCTAGGCAATTTTCAAAACCATGAAGCCAAACGAGAAGACTCATCTCTGCCCCTTGTAGGGAGGATCTGTAAACGCGTTTAGGCAAGGGTGGAAAACTGCGCCGTGACTGCGGAGAAAGAAGTCTTCTGTTTATTACCTCCAGCTCACTCTCCCAGCGGTTGATGTCATCTGTGGACTGGTTTAACTTCTCCAGCTCTCCCTGTTTGCAGTAAACACGGATGGGGACAAACACATATTGGATCGAGGTTAAAAGTAGTTTCTGGAGCAGAGCCTTTCTGCGACTAGTGTGCAGAAATGCCTGATAGTAGCAGAAGGCAGAAGTGGAAAATGTCGTTGTATGAGTGCACGTAATGTCTTACGACAGTGGACAAAGAGTGTGTCAGTACAAAGCTGGTGATCAATGATTTGGAATAAATCCTCAATCGGCTTTCAATAGGATCTACTCCCAGCCTAGCTTTCAAGTCATAGGGAAACTTGGCATGTGGGTAGTATAATGTAAATAAACCACACTTTTATGTCTCAATTTGGCAAAAGAGAGATTAAATAGCAATCATAAAAAAAGGATGACTTGTTTTTTTTTAATTTGACACTTAATCTGTAACCGAGGCATGTAAAAGTCAGTTTTCCATCAGGACCCATACATCATCTCACCTTGATTCTTGGGTCAACCTCCTCTTCCTCGTCGGCACCTTGGCAGTCCTCCTCATTTTCAATCCCATTTTGCGAAGGCTCCATTGCCACTGGGACTGTCCTCAACTCACACAAAGCGAGACCTCCCCCCCCCCCGGTTCGACGCAGGGTTGTGTGGGCTGGTGATGAAGCCCCTCACTCTTCACCCTCCAAACGCACGCGGCCACATGGCGTGCTTCAGGCTCTTCAAGGTCTTCGGGATGCTAGAGGGGGTCCCTGAACGCCGACCTGGCCGCGGGGGAGCCAGCCTACACACTGCCGAGGATCGCAACCTCGGGGACCGAAGTCGACAGAAGGATGGGGGGGGGTTAAAGTTAGATGAGTTATGACGCGCATAATTAATTTATCCGGTGTTTATCTTCAAAATAAAAGTTAAAGGATGTAATTTAGATGTCGTACATATTATTTTACGCACGCGCTCGACTCATGTTTCCGGTTTTAGCGCAGCTTCACGTGAAACTTGATCCACCGCCAATCACACAGGTTCGAGACCTAGTGTCGCACGCTCTCTCGTGGCGATTATTAAAAGTGCAATGCAGAAATAGAAAGACGATGGAGTTGACATCATCTATGTTGTTGCTTTTAATTATTTGTTGTTTCTGTAAGAATTTTTGCTTCAAATACAAATCCAAGCATGAAATAAGTTATATTTTTAAAAAAATAGAGATATTGAAGTACCCCAACTAAATTCTATGACAAATCCCAAAGTATGAAGATGATGCAGGAATAGCCAATTAGTTTAGTGTCGTCCCAAAAAAGGACTACCGGTAATATAAAACCTAATTACACATTAGAAAGTATATTACCGTAAAGCATTATGTCGCTAACGATTTTTTTAAAATGTCATTTCTAAATAAATAAAAAAAATTATTACAAATAAAGGAAACAAACAAGATGAAGCAAGTCTAGCTAATGTTTTTTTTCAACATTTAAAAGAAATACAATTAATGTACAGATGAAGTTGATAACTTTAATATGATGTAAGTGTAGGCTACCAAATGACGTGCTGTTTTTATTTTTGGTTTATTTGAACAATGAACAAACACACATTACGTTACATTTATTTTAAAATATACACACACTATATAGTGTACAGACAACGTTGCACCGTATGCAACAAACCGTACCTAATTAAGTGTCCAGTAGGCATATTTATGAACAATGCGGTGCCACGTGGGGCACCTGTAGTGTATTTTGACATTTGCCATGATTAAAGATAACGTTGCTCAAATATGAGGAAATACGAGGAAAAAAATGCAGAACGCCGCAACATGGACGCCGGTTTGGATCAACGTTCGTCATCGCGTTTTTTTTTTCAAGCGTCCCCTTGTGCGTGTGCATCATGCACTCACTCACTCGCCCGCCGGATTGCTTCCACAACGGAGCGGAATGGCGCTCTCTTCCTACTGACTCCTTCTTTTTAAAGAGGCGCAGCTGATGCGACCACCCGCTCGCCTCCTCTTTGTCTCTCTTCCACATCCGCATCGAGGAGCACCTTTGAGCGTCGGAAGGAGGAGGAGGCGGAAGGGAGGCAGCGAAGAGGGGGCTAACCGAGGATGGAGTTCAAGCATCTGGTGGAGGCGGCCGAGAAGTGGTGCTCGGGGAACCCGTTCGAGCTCATCTTCGCCGAGGAGGACGATGAGAGGCGGCTGGACTTCTACGCGGAGCCCGGCGTCTCCTTCTACGTGCTGTGCCCCGGCGGAACCGACACTTTCGTGAGTCGGCCTCTCCCCTCTCTTCATATCGACACGGCACATGCATGTGTGCGTGTGAGTGTTCGAAGCATAGGCGGGGTCCCCGTGGATACGGAGGATGGAACGGATGATGTCATGCACCACCCGTTCCCAGACTCAAATCAAGTCCCCCTGGTTGGATTCTGATGCATTACATGTCACATTCTGGTCGCTGCAGTATCATACGATGCAATCGTGCAACAACGCAGGTATGCACCATCATCCGCAAGGTTGATGCTGGGCAGAAAAGGCCACTCACAGTGACGGCTCCTGGATTTATTATACAAATCCGTCAGCTGTGCCTTTTTCAATGCTGGGTCAAGGAGGCAGGGGAAAGCCGAATAAAGCCTTAGGCCTCGCTACATGCAGTTAGCCGAGCCTTGTAGCTAAACCAAGTCCTGGAAAAAGATTCGGTGTATTGGCTACCGATTGTCTTTGGACTGCTGATTGTTCATGTCGGGTTATTCAGGTCCACGTTCCGTCACAAGGAGCTTCTCCTCTCTAAAATGGCTGTTTAAGGACTTCATTGGTATGACTTCATTTGTCTTCCTCCATTTTGCATCTCGAAGAGATCTTCAAATCTCGTAGTTTGACCTGTCCATAAGCCGCACTTGATAACCGACGGACGTGACGACAGCCTTGGATGGGAGGGGAGGTCCTGTAAACCAAGATGCACTTTTCACAAGCTCTTATGGGTTTAAAAAAAATTGCATCCAGCGAGGAAATATGCCAGCAATCAGATAACACAGATGAACAACACTATTGTATTTCTCATTAACTATATTCTCCTCTCAAAAGGTGTGGCCTGAAGCAGGGCTGGACTGGCCGTCGGGGACAGCGGGCAGATGTCCGGTGGGACAGCATCTTTTGGTGCTGTCCATGGCGGTGCCATTAAATTAACTGAATGAACCGAATGATTGAATTGATCTTCCTTTTTGATCGTCCCCACCTCCAAGGTGAGAGGGTGGTCGTATCTAAATCTAGCGGTATTTAGCATTTAGCGGGACGTGCGCCCCACCATGGCCCTATCTTTTACACAATTTGAACTCGAGTCTACGGGTCCACGCATTCAACCTGCTTATTGAAAAAGAGACGCCGATGTGTCAAAATCGTATTATTTCATTGTTATTAAAATTGTTCCTGTCTTATTCAAGTTCATGTGGTGAGTGGTTGAACACGAGCGCCCTCTATTGGCCATCCGCCACTGGTCAAAACCCAACAGATTGCTTTCAGAAGAACGCATATCATTCTCATCATCATCCTCACATCAGTGGTGTTGCTTGCTGTTGCCTTCCGACTGCCCCTCCCCCCTCAGCCCGCCCCAGCTTTAATGACAGAGGCCAGATGGAGATGACCCATGAGGCCCTCTTTACTTGATGACACACTCAATGACACAGCGGTCGCCGTTACATGTACGGGCCTCGTAGACAGAGAAAGAAGCCTCGCGTGGCAACATAGCGTTGTGATGATATGACAGAACATCCATTTTGTGTCCCTTTTGGAAAGTTAAGTTACTTGGAAATAGCTCAAGAAATGCACAGTTGGCCTAGAGGACGCAACATTAGGCACACCCAAATCAGATGGAACACAAAAGCTGTATTGAAAATGTGGTCTTTTTTTTCATGGATATTATTGCTGTTTCTTAATATTTCGGCCCTCCAACAGAGCTAAATTACTTGGAAAAACAGCTAGAGGAAATGTTATGATGATGTTCACATTCTTCTGGGGGGCAAAAGGCGAAATGAGAAAAGTGTAAAATCTAATTATTTGAGGGAGTCGCAGTTTTAAACTCAGATTTTTTTCTAATTTATTAGTATTTGAAAAACAAATTGAAGCCAAATTAAATAAATAAAAACATAATGATTTTTTTTCTGTAAATTACAAATTGAAAAAAATATTAAGAATATGCTGGTATACCAAATTCCTTTTTTTTTTTTTTTGGTTGATTTTAAAGATTGATTAAATGAAACTCCGTTTCAATTTCCCCCGTTATATGTCTCTGATTGTCGTTGCGTAACTGCATTGCATCACACCGAGTGCTGTTTCTGCTCTATCCTTGAGACTTTTTCCCTACATCCTTGTTATGATCGATACGTCCACCCACCCAAGGATACACGTGCTTTGAAAAAAAAAAAAAAGGCGAGTTTTCAGACATGCTGAGGCCCACAAAGAGGCAATTGGAATGACAAAAAACATGCTGTTATAATAATCATGCCGTTACACTGGTGGTGAACCTTACTTGGTCTCACGATCAAATGCGCTATTCTTTTACAAACCGAATATTACTCACTGTGATGACACGTTCAGGAGTACCTAACGTTGTGACTGACAGTATATAGGAAGCGACGACGATACGATGAGATTTTGTGATTTGCCTTCATGCATCCCATCTCTCACTTAAGTCGTCTTTTATCTCCTGCTCTAGTTTGCAGTGTAACGCCACAATCGAATAGAACGCAGGCCAGTCGCCGCAAGCCTACGCAGGCACACTCGCACACGCACATCAGCTGCAATAACTGTCTCTCTTCGGGACTTCGGAGCACCGAGCACTCCCACTCAATTTAAAACCACGTGCTGAAAATCCTCCGAGGCCCATGCGACACTTGTGAAAAAATGTGATGCAGCAATGTTCATTATTCCAAATGATGAGCATTTGTGGGGTCATATATTGTATTTATTTGTGTCTGGAATTGCAATGGCGGGCCACATCGAAATCCCTCTAGGGGCTGTCATATGGCCCACATGCCGCATGTTGATCCACAAAATTGCGAGCATAAAATGAATAGAAAATGCTGTACATCCTGTTATGTTTGTGCCTGGTCTGGAGGCGAGTGACGTCGGGGAGTTTACATGTGAAAGTCTGGGCGTGAGCTGTGACCAACAGCAGCTCCTTCTTAGGTGCTATATTCCATCCAGTGTTCAGTAAATAAAACAAATAAGAAATGGCTGAAAAGCGTATCAACATCTGTGGCTCCCCTTTCCCACATGCAAAGGCATTACAGTAAGTATACACAATTGTGAATGGATTATTGATGTACTACATAAGTATCGTTAATCTATCTCCGCCAACCTCGCATTGTGGCATGCAGAACAATGAAATGCTCTTGCACTAAATGGCAGAAGATACCTTTGAATCCACATGTTGCTGTTGATACCACTTATTAGCTTTCTTTTCAACGAAGCGAGCCCAGATTTCACACGTGTGATGAAATCAAGTTGTGTGCTGATCGATGCGAGATTATCTTTTTTGTTTGGGAGTAAGCCAGGAGATTTTTTTTTTCCCATTCTAGAAAGTAAGTGCCTTGGCTAAATAAAGCTTAGCAAAGAGTGCACTAGAGGGCGCTGCAACACAACATGCACTGCCATTGAGAGAGGTCACACAGGTCACCAGATCTGGCGCCTGACCGTGTCGATGTTTCACTTCTCGCTCTTGAGAGTGAGTCAAACGGAGGCTTTGGGTGCCTTACTCAAGCGCGGTTTGCACAAGGGTTCAGCGCCGAGCCACCGCGACACGAACAATTTTCTTGTAGTCATCTCTTTGCACCGCTCCCACACGAGGGTGTGTCCGATAAAGGGTGGCGAGGCTGACTAAAAGCAAACACTTTGGGCAACCTTTAACATAATGAACCACGTGACAGCATATTCAAATCGGCTCCCTTTTGTTGTTTTATTTAAACGCCGCCTCCCAGCTATTTAGTCGATTGGCACGGGTCAAGGAGAACACACAACAACCGCGCTAGACCTTCACAATCCACTCTTCAGAAAGTAATATTTGTCAGTTTCCCAGGTATTCATTCAACAATGGGTTCATTTAGAATGCAGTGTCATCATCTGAATTTGTCTTTGTTTAGTCAAAATATTAGAAACAGTTCCCGGTATCGTGCAATGGCGTGCTGAAAAGGGCAATGATAATAATAATTGGAAGCGTGGCCAGTTTAGCTGAAGACAAAGCTGCTCCGCCGTATGGATGGCAAGTTAGACAGGTGGACGCACAGGTTAGTCGATGGTTGCTTGGCCAATTCATTCAGAGCATTTCTTTTTTGATACCATTAGTAATAAAACCAATACATATTTTTACCATTGGTGCTCTCCGGTCCCCCCCGCCCCCCTCCCATATTTCCCACCAGTTCGATACTAATTATCTTATTTGTGTCCATGTTGCCCACCCCTTTTATCTGGTCTGCTTGCTCTCTGTTCTACTTTCCCTCGGCGATGCTGACCCCTACCCAGGAAAAAGCTTAGGCCACAAACTAGAGCCAGATTGATGACTTCTCAGTGGGAACATTTTTTTTTTTTTTCATTTTCCGTCATGTTTCTAATGAATTTCATGTGTGTTTACAGCACGTGTGGAGCGAAAGTGAGGATTGCCTACCGTTCTTACAGCTGGCTCAGGATTACATCTCATCCTGCGGCAAGAAGACCCTGCTGGAGGTGCTGCAAAAGGTCTTCACGTCCTTCAGGCCTGTAAGATAAACATTTTTAACACACACACACACACGCACGCACGCACACACACACACACACACACACACACACACACGGTGAGCTCAGAATGCTGTGCTGGCGTCTCTCTCGAAACTGGAAGAGATAAACAAGATTGAATTATTCATAGAGTGGCGTCACGATGAGTTTAATGTGCTGAATGAGTATCAGCTGGCTGCAAATGATTGAAAAAAAAGTGTGAAAAGGTTGGTAATAAATGCATTTGCCATTTGTATTGATTTTTTTTTTTTATGTTTTCTAAATTATTCATATACCATTTTGAACAGGAACAAAGGAGTTTCAGATTAAATGCACCTTTTCATCGCTAAATTACAGCTCCACACCACATAAAATAATTTTTTTCTCCAAAGTCTCTGTCGGGTTAAAATACATGTCTTGTGTTATCAACAACCCTGCCAAATTTGAATGACCCCCCCCCCCCAAAAAAAGTCGCCAAGTCTCTGTTATGATATGTAGCCACTGGCTTGCTCGTGCGCTAGGTTGAGACGGTAAGTTGAGAATGAGAGTGGAATAGACTCCACTTTTGCCACAGTAACTTGGGACGTGCTCCAAATTTCAAGTTCAGAGACTGACTCCTGACTCGCACATACTGTATGTGACCGACTCCTACCTCTTTACCCGACTAATTAAAAAGCCTCTCTGTGTTGACTCTACTGACACCAGTACACGCCGTACACTCCCAAGTGTGCTCCAACTCAATCCTGTCCGTCTCCTCCCGCTAGCTGCTGGGGCTCCCTGACATAGAAGACGAGACGTTTGAGCACTACCACGCCGACGTGGAGGGCGAGCCGGGACCCGACCATCAGCAGATGGGGGTCAGCCAGCAGTGACGAGGAAAGAGGAGGGAGGAAGTCGGCCAGCGATCCTGGGGGGCCTCACTACTGACACATACACACACACACACACACACACACACACACACACACACACACACACACACACACACACACACACGTGCCAATCAGA